TAGCTCAGGCAAGGTCGAACATTGTTGTAGTTGGTCATTCTTGCCAGGCTACCGAGTACCTTGGAGTATCCGTACGCTACCTTACCTTCAGGTAAAGCTGAAAGCTTGGGGGCTACCTACTGCTTTGCTGACCTCACCTGCCTGGTCTTGCGCGACACCTGCACCTGCACCACCACCGGACCACACTGCGCACGCTGCCTCATCAAACAAGGTTTCGCCGGGCCTGGTTTGTCTGCTTTCCTCTCAATCCATCTTCACCTCACCTCATCTCATCATACTTTTGCTGCGAAGGTTACCGGGACTTTCCACTCTACCGTCTCTTTCACTCTCTTCCCCCTCTCTACTCGCCCTGTATCGTCCGCCTTCTACCCATTCTCTCCCGGACCGGGCTCTCACTCAGCAAAGTACCCGATCTACGTCTTTGTTTCCCAACGGGCGTCCGTGTCCGTTTCGCACACACAGCCCAGAACCAAAGCTTCCCGCGACCAAACGAACAGGCGGCTCAGCGAAACACACCAATCACCAACACCACCACTACTAACGGTTGGACCATCTCACACGTCAGCCTTCCCATGAGCTGGACCTCCATCATTCGTCGCACGCCTTCAACCAACATCACCTACTCCTCCATTGTCGTTGCTGAATCGACGTCTTGCTGGTGAGAAACGCTTCAGTTTCCCCCGCAACGCCAAGCGCACTTTCCTTGCATCGTCGCAATTGAATCGCAACCATGGTGTCAGCCGCTGGAGGTATCGTCATCGCCATCCTGGTCCTCGCCATTGTTGGCGGTGCCGGCTGGGTCATCTTCACCCAACTGCGCGCCCGGAGACTAGGTGTACGTAACAAGGCTCTCCCATTCCCTAGCACCTATTCCCATCATGCTCTGTCTCGCGACTAACCTGCGTTGCACAAAATAGCTTCCACCCCCATCCCTCTCTTCCTACATACCTTTCCGAAAATCCGATCCGCCGCCGTCATACGGACCCCCGCGCCCTGCGCCGAGCGGCATCGCCGGCTGGATCAACGACAAGATCACCTCCTTCAAGAACCGCAACAACCGCTCTGCCGCCGGAGCCTACGAGCAGCCCTCGGGAGGTGCTGGTGCACCGCGCCGGGGCTTCGGACCGCTCGATCCGGATGAGGCGTGGGATGCGCGCGTGGGCCATGAGGCCGAGACCTATGGTCCTTACGGAAACTACGAGGAGCAGGAGCTGGGGTACCGCGGCGGCGGCCACAACGACAACAGCTACAGCATGAACCTTGCCTCGACTCCCAACCCCCACGATGAGCCGGCGCGGGGCCGCAGCCTCAGCCGGGATGACGACGGCGGTCTAGGTGTCCACAAGGCTGGCGGCAGGAATCCGTTCGAGGACGACGCTGAGCCGAGCAACATCAGCTTGCGCGGCGTCAGCCCCCGGCCGATTGTCGATACGGGTGCGCCGCAACAGCAGCAGCAACAACAGAAAAAGGACAGCGGCGAGAGCCCGACAGAACGGAGGTCGATCTTCCGGGAGAACGTATGATACGGTAGCGCAGGCTCGAAAACCCGATTGTGAAATTTCCCGTCAATGAGACCGCAAAGCACAAAGATGAGAAACTAGACAAGAGTTTTTAAAGAAGCAGCGGAGGGAAGTTGAAGATGAAGTTGAAGAGGGCAGATTGTCTGTTTTCTTCGGGAGGGCAACGCGTAACGAGCATCCGTACGGAAAGCGGGCCAGGAAAGTGGGAGGAACTGGGTCTCCGGGACATGTCACGATTGGGAAATGGGCAAGATATGGTTGTCTTGTGAGAATTCAAAGGCGTTTGGGCTCTGCTTTATAACCTCTATTCTCCATGTTTTCTCGCCTGATTCCATCTTTTTTGACGCGGTAGAATATATGAACAGGTTGAACCGCCAGAAAAAAAAGCCTCCCAATGTGTACTAACCTTTGGGGGAAGAGAAAAGTTAGCATGCCCGTTTCCCGGTATCCCGCCGGAGCCGTCGGCCAAGAAATTTGATGGAAAACCCTCCGGGGGAAATGATGAGTCGACCGGGTCTCCACCAGTTGATTACCTAGGTGACGACTTTACGAGACATGACCGATACTGAGAAATCCCTCATATATGGTAAGGTCAGGTAAGGCGTGAATGGCCTGCGCGTATTATGTCGGCCGTTCATCTAATGGGAGCCCCCCGGCCGCATACTCCGTCGACGAAGCGCCATTGTCCCCCGCTGCGGTACATCCGCTCCTCGCTGACCGGCGCAGTGTCCCGCCGAGAAAGCCCGGTCGGTGGGAGACCACCTTCCGAGCTCTATGGTATGGAAGCCGGAGTGGGTCGGGAATATCGGTGACCACTCAGCTCAGGTGATATAAGGTATTTTGGTACCGTACGGAGTACCTGGGTGCGCTCCAATCGCGCCGAGCTGAAGAACACATGGGAGTGGGCAGAGGGTGAGATCCGCCCGCTCTCCCCACAGTGAACCGTTGGAACTTGGACCAACTTTTTGTGACCTCATTCCTTTCTTTCCCCTCCAAACCACCCCGCCATCCATTCCGATTTCCCCCCTCCTCCCATCTTCTGCCCCTCCAAAAAAAAGATCTCCCCATTTGGAGCTTGCTAAAACATTGATCGACAACCTCCATCTTGTAAAGCATTCTTTTTCAAAGTATACAAGACGTCTACAAAGTCTCCAATTGATTTAGTCCTCAATCGGATTTCTTCATACGTCCCGATTGCTCTTCACTAGACGATTATAGCTCGCTAGCTGTACAGATCCATAAGCTCACCACCAACGACAGGACACGATGGCGGACCTCAACCTCCAAGAAATCCACGACACCCTCCTCGATATCGCGACCGAGGCGGGCAAGATGATCATGTCCGCGAACCCGGCCTCGATTGACCAGGACACCAAGCTCAACTGTATGCAGTCCCTCATCCTACCCCTTCACCCCTACATCCATTGAAACGCGCCCTCCCCCCTACCCTCAACACTCTCAAACAAGCCGCAAGATCTGGACTAACTTCTTCCACCACCTCTCAAAACAGCCGTCGACATCGTGACCGAAACAGACCAAGCCGTCGAGAAAATGGTCTCCACCCGCCTCTCCCAACGCTACCCCACCATCGCCTTCATGGGCGAAGAAACCTACACAAAAGGAACCCGCCTCGGCCCCGAACCTACCTTCGTCGTCGACCCCATCGACGGCACCACAAACTTTGTCCACTCTTTTCCCGACGCCTGCATCTCTCTAGGTCTAGCCGTCAACCACGTCCCCGTCGTCGGCGTAATCTACAACCCCTTCCAGGACCTCCTGTTCACGGGCATCAAGGGTAAGGGGAGCTACATGCGCCGCGCCGGTGGTCCGGCACAGAAACTGCCCCTCGCCAAGAACCCCATCCCCCTGAAAGGCCTGGACTCCGCGCTGCTGGCGTGCGAGTGGGGATCTACCCGCGACGGACCCAACTTCGACCTGAAGGCCGAGACGTTCAAGAAGTTGGCGGCGACGAAGGAGACGGGCGGCGCGATGGTGCATAGCATGCGCGCCCTCGGCTCCGCGGCGCTGAACCTTGCTGCCGTGGCGGCGGGACAGCTGGACGCGTATTGGGAGGGCGGGTGCTGGGCGTGGGACGTGTGTGCGGGTTGGTGTATCCTGACCGAGGCGGGCGGCATCATGGCGGGCGGGAATCCGGGGGTGTGGGAGCCTGCTGTTGACGAGAGGGTGTATCTTGCCGTGAGGGGGGCTCCGGGCGGGCAGAAGGAGCTTGTGGAGGAGTTTTGGGGGGTGATGGGGGATAAGAAGTTGGATTACTCTGTTTGAGAGGTGGGAGATGGGAGGGGAGTTTGATGATGGATGAAGGAATGAATGAACGTGAATGAGGTTTGGATAAGGTACCTAGATGAGGAGGAAACAGGCCATAGATTTGATGGGTAGATCTACAATATAGACCATGTCTTGGAGTCTCAAATACCAAACGTCTATTCCCTTACATCACCTGACTGTAATTCCAATATAAGATACCGTATAACCATGCTAGCATCAAAGCAAAGTAAGTTTATTAGCTACATCTAGTAAAAAGAGTTCACCCCCCCGGTGGCGATTGGGGGCTACATCTCTTGGTGCTCATTCCGGGACTCGAACTCGATCGCTAAGCCTGTCGTCGAGTAGGCTGGTTGGCGTTTAAGATTGTCGACCATAAACCACTCCACCACCCAGCCAGTTTGACCTGACCCGTCGACCTAGACGGGCGCCTGCTGGCTGGTGACGGGAATGAGTTTGAGGAGGGGTATATACCCTTTCAGCCTCGTGACGGGCGGTGAGGTAGTGTGTCACGTGTAGAAGACACCTTGTGGTTGATGAGGATAGGAGGGGGAAGGTACGGTTGAGGGAAGGCCCGGTCAACGCCTTAGGCGAGGAAGGCGTAAGGTAGGCGGGCCCTGAATGTGTGAAAGGTACGTACGGTAGACGACACACGTTTGTTTCGTCTGGCCTTATTCATGTGTAACTACCTTGATTGACTTTGCCTCACTCCCATCTGGATGAGAAAAAAAAACGGCGATGAGGCTTGGTGGTTGTGATGAAGTAGATGAAGTCCGCACCATTTTCCCATATCTACTTGGCAAACTTGGTGTAGGTGTTCGTCCGAAGGCTATTTCCATCTCACATTAACCAGAGAGTGTTGCCACATGAACGATTTCAAAGATGTCGCATTATTTTCATCTTCAGACGATTGAACATATGTAATGTAAGACGTACCATTTCTCTTTTACTAAGAAGTCCTATCCGGACCCGGCCCAAAGCCGGCAACCCAACAGCTCCTTAGCGCCACGTGGGGGGGGCCGTAACCGAACGCCGTTAGTGGTCAATGCTGGATGCGAACCCCCGAACACAAAAGGCCCAACAACCCCCGTTGCCGCGCTGAAGACTACGCCCTCCATTGTCGTGGGCCGAGACCAGCATATTTGTGACTGCGGCGATTGGTGTCCACACAATGTCTGGCTACGGCACCGACCAGATATGAAGACCAAACAACTTACAGTCTGCGATGAGTGCAGAAGACGAAAACTTGGCGTAAGAGCCCCGCAAAAGTATGATGACGACCTGACTGACGCTCTGCTTGGCAGTGCGACGGAAAGCAGCCATGCTGCTCTCAGTGTGTCTTCTCTGGCCTCGGTTGTCCAGGGTACAAGAAGCACATTGTATTTCGTCAACCCTCATCACCAGGCTCGGTCGCTTCCGGTCAGCGGAAGAAGCGGGCACGTCAAAGCAGGACACCCAATCCCGCAAGTCAGAGGCCGAAACCTCCGACTCGGGCCTTGACTTGGCCGCTCAGCGACGTACTCTCAATGTGCATACAAAACTTTGTCCCCGCCAACGAGTTAGGTTCGATGTCCAGCACTTCAAAGCCTTCGCAGTCTCGAATATGCGGAGCATGGGTGGAAGTTCTGCCGGGGATCGTCGGGACAGATGGGAGGCATGACGGACCTTTATCCTCCGCCATCAAAGCTCTGGGGATCTCACTGATGGCCAGAGGCCCCAAGGGGCGAGCTCCTGTCCACGAAGCCATTGAAGCGCACTCCTCGGCGCTCAAGGCTGTAGGGTACCTCATCCCACGCGCCAATGATGATCCGAACAACTATACCGAGATATCTGCAGCCATTATGTGCTTGTTCCTGTCAGAGGTAGGAGATTCTCCGTCTCTATTCGGTCTCTTGTAGGTACGTTTACTCACATAAGACTGTCCCAGAAATTCTTTCCCACATCGGGCTCTGCAGCGACAGTCCACGCAAGGGGCATCGGTGAGCTAATTCAACTCCGCCCGCCGCAATTCTACGCTTCTGGAACACCCCACAAACTCTTCGTTGGGTTCAGACCAATTCTGGTACGACAGCCTGTATTCATCGTCACTTCAGGTTACCTGTGCTGATATCTCAGATTCTCCACGCGTTTGACACTCGGAAATCGACCTTTCTTGGGGCGCCTGAGTGGAAAGAAGAGCCGTTTCGGCGTGTAGTCCAAGATCCCCTCCAGGCCCTCTTGAGTGAGGCCTGCGCCATACCCGCTATTTTCGAAATGCTTGATCACTGTAACGACGATAGTGAATCTGCCGCCCGCAAAGCCGCCATCCAGTTTGTGGAAGCTATCAACCGCCTGGACTTTTGGCACAAATCAGCAAACATGGCTATGGGGGACTTGACACGTTTACAAAGCGTTTCACCAGCCGGTACCGCCAGCCTCGAATTCCCAAACATCACCGTGGCTAATTCGTTGAGTCACTACTGGGCGTTCTGGATTATTTGTGCCACCCAGATACAGCGATTAGCAGCACACCACCCAAACATCTCGCAAGATTGTCTTCTGATAGGCGGAGAATACCCCGCAAGCAGAGCGGTGACCCAAAAGGTTCTCCAGCTCGCAACTTATATCCTTGAAAGTACAGGCTATTTGATGCAGGAGGACATGAAACTCTATGGCACAGCATCTGCGTTCTTTCCTTTGCATATCGCGAGGGGTGCGCTGGAAATATTTGGAGGCGATGATGAGGCCATCTGTGAACAGTTGGCGAGAAATGCTGAGATTATACGCCAACAAGGATATGAGGATGTCTTATTACATAGGCGGACAGTGCTTCTTGGTTAACATTTGGTCTACGGTAGACCTCATCAGCTTATGTTATGGCAGACGTAATTATGGTTGCATAGCAAGGACGACAATGGCAGCACAGCACGGACGACGACGGCAACGACGAGAGTAACGGTCCAAGTAATATCCAATGATGGGAATGAACAACGCGCTGCCCGCCCTACCAGAAATATCTGGCCTAATGGCAAAGCGCTATGCAATATCTTTGCTCTTCACCACAGTACCGAATGCATCCGCAATTTCAGCCAACGCGATCTTTGTCAAATCCTCAGCATTTGCCCCGGGGATATCGCGGTCACCGACGGCGTCTTCCACAACGATCACGTCCCACCCCTTTTCACTCGCCTGTCGAGCAGTAGTCGAGATACAAACGTGCGCCTGCCGGAGGAAAAAAAAAAGTTAGTCTCTGGTAACACTTTCTTCCACCAGGCGCCTTTCTCGTCCAATAACAAATCATCGTACCATGTATCCAGTCAAAACCACCTTGTTCCTTCCGGTAGCCTTTAGCAACTCTTCCAGGTTCGTACCCGTGAAGGAGCCTGGAAAATTCTTGGCGACCACGCTTTCCCCCTCGAGCGGCTTCAGCTCTGAGAATTCCTCGGCGAGCTCGGTGCCGGGGGTAAAGAGGGGGGCACCGGCCGGCACTTCGTGGACGACGTGGACGACGGGAGCCCTTGCGGCGCGGTATTTCTCAAGCAGAGAGGCGATTCTTGTTCGGGATGCTTCGACGTTTGAGACTGCCAGCTTGCCGGTTGCGTACTCGTTCTGAGCGTCGATAATGACCAGGATGCTGTCGCTCGTGGAGGTTGTAGACGCTGGCACGCCGAGCATGGAACGCATCGATACTGCTGCAGACGCCATGGTGATTATCTTGTTTGCCGCGAAACTCCGGAAAGAAATCTGAAGAAGGTGTTGTACGAGTGGTGATGTGAGCGGATGATGTTGCTAATCGTCTGGCGACTTGTATTATCGCTGGCTTCTGGGTCATATATTCGTATAGAAAGGTTCCGGGCTTTCTGTGTCTTAGTGTACAAGGGGTCTACAGTGGATGGCGTTAGGCCAAACAAGGTATCATAATCCGCCAAGACAAGAGATCCCCAGATGATGGAGAACGATCGAGGGGCCTCGAACAGATGAGGAATGACCAATCGGAAGCCACCAATGTCTGCAATGACGCCGGATTAGAGATGTCTTGGCGAATTATGAATCCTATTCTGGTCAAGCGCAGAGGTGTTATGGAGGAACGCCTCGTTTACCGCTACTCGTCCTGCAACTACGATGACAGTCAAGCTCGTGACTCAATGTCGGCCCATCCGCAATCAAGGATTATTGTTTCTAAGCTTGATCATCTCCAGGCATCTACAACTGACAAATCCTTCCTGCTGATTAGTGATGGAATGTGACCATGATTCCCAGTTGATGCTACAACAAACAGACATTCCAAATAGTTCGGCATCAAATTTAAGTACTCCGCCTTTTGAAGTTTCTCCCTACGCATCTCAAGATGAAGTCATTTCAATGAAAGGCAATTGACTTTAGCGTTGTTGTTATTGTCAAGCCCACAGGCCAAACCAAGTCAAAAGTGCTATCTACATGTACCTCTGAAGGGACTACCTTACCAATCATGGTATGCATTTAGGTTGGTAATCGGCGTCTTACATGAATTTGTCAAAATGTCTACTGCTGAATCGTGTTTGCCAGTTGTAAGTCTTGGGTTGATCAGACGTGAGAAAGCCTTCTTCCCAATCCCCGAAAGGAATCGGAACTTATACAGCATATAGCCTTCCACATATAAGGAAGACTTTGAAACACTTATTCCAACGAAGATGAACGACAACGACGCTACGCAATAGCTTCTACCTTCAGTCGCATCATCTACCACCAGCCCCTCTCGAGACGTTACAACGACCGAGATTTCCATCAAACCTTCGACAATGTCTTCCAGAACCAACTTCAAGCCCAGAGTGAGCATCACTCACATTGGAACTGCGACGGCCATCCTTGATATCGATGGCGTGCGCTTCTTGACCGACCCTTTCTTTTCTCCAGCAGGCACCACCTGGGACGTGGGTATCACTATCCTCCAGAACACCGAAGATCCTGCCCTCAAGCTCGATCAGCTTCCTCCCATCGACGCAGTGCTGTTGAGCCACGAAGACCACCCCGATAATCTCGACGAGCTGGGCCGCCGGCTCCTCGACGGCCGGCACGTCTTCACGACCGTGGACGGAGCCAAGAACCTCGCTCCTCGCCCGGCGGTCGTCGGCATGGAGCCATGGACAACCGTGGAGAGACGCATCGGCGGAAAGGTCTTCCGCATCACGGCCACCCCGTGCCAGCACCTACCCGGCGGTGAATGCATTGGATTCTTGCTGTCGTCGGACGACTTTGGGCTTGGGCCGAACAAGCTGCCGAACGCCGTCTATTTCACGGGCGACACGGTGTACATGGACGAGTTGACTACGATTGCCGACAAGTTTCACGTTCCCATCGCCATGATGAATCTCGGTTCCGCCCATGTGCAGTTTCCGGACAGGGACGCACCGCTGCAAATCACCATGGACGGCAAGCAGGCGGCTCGTCTTTTCCGAGAGATCAAGGCAGACCATTTAGTGCCCATGCATTACGACAAGTCGTGGGGTCATTTCACGCAGTTTGAGGAGGGACTGGCGAAGGATTTCAAAGATGAGGGTGTTGATGACAAGGTCAGGTGGTTGAAGCCGGGACTTGCAGTTGAGATTATCTGACTAGCAACAACGAGTCCCTTCATGTAGTAGCATATTCTGGATAGCTTATAAACTTTCTATCAATGGAAATGGTCGAACAGAACCTGCAACAAGAATTTGGTCATCTCTCGGTCTCGACAGATGTTAACGATGCTGTGAGTTCGAAACGCCGGTATACATCATGAGGCAAAAACGCCAGTAATTTAGAAAAGAAAAAGACCGACTGTAGCGATCAATTTAACTCTGTCACCGTATCTTTCACTCGCCGGCATGCTCATCTGAGCATGCTAGATAGGGCTTGAGATTAGTGATCTATTCAAGTTCGAAAAAATCTCGACGATTCTATCTTTAGTAAGGTATTCTCATCCCTGTGTACGCCTTTATATGATCCATCAAGAGCTTACAAAGGTTATATTATTAATATCCCTATTATAGGGTAGTTAGTTCGAACCGTAGTTAATAAAGAGATTAATTAAACTATATAAATATTTACGTAATAAGTATAAAAAAGAGGTTCTAACTATAGGTTAGGCTAGCTATAATAATTATAAATAGGGCCCCTAATTAGCCCTTATATAGTTAGCTATATACTATAGTCGAATTAGATTTCTAATTTAATACTAACTTTCTTTTTTTTTTTATTAATTTAATTATTATAATTAGAGATATAATTTAACCTCGGGCCCGTTTACTAAGCTATCTCTTTTTCCTCCTTTTTTTTATTTTTTTTATATAATCTATCCCTCTATTTATATAATAACTTTTCCGCTACTTATAAATTACTTTAACCCCTTATTTAGTACTACTTTTATAAAAGCGTTTATAAAGTTATTTTTATTATTAATTTAATAGATTTTAAGTATCTCGCGCCTTTTATATAATTACTTAAAAGCTATAATATTAATTATAAACCTCTTTTTTTTTATTATTTCTAATTTAATAAAGTATTTATATAGCGAGTATAAATTAGTATAAATAACTATTAAAATAGATAAAAACTAAGTTAATTAGTAATTTTCTTTAGTATTATTAAAATTATATAAGAAAGGTTAACGCTATTAATTATATTATAAACTTTTAACGCTAATATACTTCTTATTACTTACTTATTTTTAGTTAATAAATAATAAATTATATTATTATATATAATAAATTCGCTCTTATTTATACTCTCGTTAGCTAGGATAATAATATATTTTAATTACGAAATAAAGTTATTATTATTTATAAATAACTTATTAATAAAGACGTAAAGCTTATTAATTATAAAGTCGATTAAGTAATAAACGAGGCCTTAATTAAGATTCGTTTATTACTACTTAAACTACTTATTAAATACTTTAATATCTCGTTTAGTTAAATTTATAGCTTATACTACTCTAATATAATTAAAAATTACTTCGGGCTAATAAATACTCGTAATATATACTTTTTATACGAGCTTAGTTTTATATTACTTTTTAATATTAGTTATATTTAGATTAACGAAGTTAATTTTTTTACCCTATCCTTTTTATTAAAAAACGACGGTTTCCTTTTTAATTATTAAAATCTTATTATTAAAAACTAGGGGAGTATTTATTATAAAAACCTCTTTTAGCTTCGCTACGAAGCCTACTTTTTAAAGCTCCTTATTTTCTTTTTTTATAAAATTAATATTAAATAAGCTTAATATATTATTAGTTTATATTTTAACGATCTTAAATTAATTATTTTTATACTTAGAAACTAATAAATACGGGTCGTATATAGAGATAATTATTAATAATTAATTAATATAAAAATCGTAATAAGTAGTTTATTAATAAGTGCCCGATTTTACGAGCTTATATAATAGCTTAAGTACTTTAATAATCGTGCTTTCTAAGTACTTATTAGCTATTTTTTTTAGTAAATAGGCTAGGATTTTTTTTATAAGCCCCGTAGCTAATTAGGTATAGGCCTAGGTAATATTATAGCTCTAAATTTTATATCCCTTTTTTTATAATAATACTATTAGTACTATTATTAATCGCTAGTTATAACGCTATATAATAAGTAATTATATAAATAGCGTCGCTTTTTTAATATTACTATACCTCTAAATTACGTATTTAGACTTCTTATATAGCTAAGATATTCCTTTTTTTTTAATTTTACGAACTATTCGTAATTTAAATATATAAAGGTTTATATATTTTTTTAAGTTATAGAGGATAAATTAATAAACCCCTCGATTATAAAAAGTATTTACTTTAATAAGATTTAATTTTTTATATAGCTTTTTAATAATTATAATTATGCCTTCTTTATATAATTTAATTACTAGCTTAAAATCGGCTTTCTTTTTTACTATATAAAAAGTATTAATTACTTTATTATTAGTAATAAATTACTATATTAGGGCTTATTATTATAGTTTTCTATAACGTCTCGCTAGTAATATTAGTACTCTTTTAGTAATTTCCTCTTCTTTATTATTTATTAGTATTATTATAACAATTTTATTAAAAATAATTTCTTATACCTCTATTACGGGTTATATAGTTTCCCCTAGCTCTTTTTTTTTTTATAAATTAAAAATTACTTTATTAAGATCTATATAATACAGTTTAATTACTATAATTAATATTTTAAGTAGCTAATTATAATCTCTTATAACTATATAAAAGCGCTCTTTAATAAAAATTAATTTATATAGCCTAGCTTATTATTAAGTAATTTTATATTATACTTATATATCCGAATTTAGTAATATATTTAAATTACCCCCTATATTAGGCCTATTATACGTAGTAATTACCTCGTTAACTTACTTTTTTATATTTACTTTATATAGTACCCGTATTATTTTTTTAACTACTTAAGCTCGTTAGCTTATATTTAGTAACAGTAGCGAGGCTAAGGTCGTTTTTAAATATATTTTAAATACTAATAGCGTTAGTATAAGCCCGTTAGGCCTTATAATATTATTATAATATTTAAGTATTATTTAGAAATATTTATTATTAATAAAATCGGGATTTTCTTTTTTAATAATTCTGAACGCCCTTTTTAATTATTAATATACCCTTTTTATTTTTTTAATATTATAGTGCGCTTTAACGAGTAGGACTTTTAGTTATATATTATAAGCTATTATATTTTTTCTAAATTCTACTAATTTAAAACTAATATTAATATCGGTTTTAATACTATTTAGCGGTCCTTAATATATATCGATCTATCCCTTTTATAAGGCTACTTATACTATTTTTATTTATAAATCCTAAAAGAATTGCCCTATTTAAAAAGATATAACTATATTAATTATATATAGGACTAGCTAATTATTTAAATAGAAAATATTAATAACGATTTCCTAATTAAAGTTAAGCTTATTACGTAATTTAAATTTAAATTTGCGTAAGCTTTGCGTATTTATTTAATATTAGTAGTATACTTTTATTAATTATTCTAGCGTCCCTATTTTAATATTATTATTATTTAATTATTTTAAAAAGTTATATAGCCTCGCGACTAACGAGTACCCGAATTTCTAATATAGTCGTTTAAGCTCACTTTCCGTTAAGTAATTAATTAACTTTATATTATTAATAAGCTTTATAAACGTATACCCCTATCGTCGTTTAACTATCTTAAAATACTTATTACTAAAGATTTTATTCCTCGTATTATTAAATATAATACTTATTTAATCTATATTTTTTAAGTATAAGAGAAATAGGGTATTAATAAATAAAATATAAAAAGTTATCGTTCCGAAGTACGTTTTTATTTTTACTATACCTAGGGCGACGATTTCTTTACTTAAGCTAAAACTAATTTTTATAATACCCGCCGTTAATATATTAAGTATTATTAGCGCGATCTTTTATAATACTTAGAATTACCCCTTTTTTTTTATTAACTATTATAATACTCTAATATTTAAAATAATCTTATAAAAATTATCTAGGCTATATTTTTTATTTATATAGAATATTTATATAAGCTTAGTATTTAAATAATTTAGAGAGTATAAAAAGGACCCCTCTAGCTATCTTTAGATTTACTTAGTATTTTATTCTTTTTTTTTAAATATTAAAAAAGATAATATCTTCTTTTTAAACGTTTAAAAAATAGACTTCGGCCCTATTAAATTTATTTTTTTAGCTATTTTTATATTTATTATCTAAGGGACCTTCTCTTACTATCCGTAAATAAAAGCCTACTTATTAAAAGCTTTTATTACTCTTTATTTATTTAGCTTTATATATTTTCTAAAAGTTAATAAAATAAAAAAAGAATAGTTAATATTATTAATTTTATTATAATCTAATTTATTAGTATAGGGGGTAAGATTTTTTTTATTTTTTAAATTTTTTATAGGGGGCGGATACTTTAAGCCGCTATTTTAGTTATTATTACTAAGTTCTATACCCCTAGATCTACTTTTATATATAATAAGGAATTAGTTAAACTAATAAAAACTAGTTTTACTATTTATTACTTTTAACTTTTTATATTATTTATATAATTTAGTACGCTCTTTTTTAAAGTAATTACTTAACTAATATTTATCTTTTTTATAAATATAGTATTATTTTTTTATTACCCTATTTATAAGTTAAATCTCGGCCTATTTAATAAATCTAAGCCTCCTTATTAATAATTATTATATTTAGCCTCTTTTCCTTTTTTATTATACGTTCGATCGATTTAATATTATTAATAAGGGCCGTTATATACCTAGAAGTAGGTTTAATACGGCATTTTTATTTTAATATTAAAATTAGATTTTAGCTTTAAGTATAGCGTTTTATAATTTTTAAGTACTTAGTATAAAGTTATTTTTATTTTTAATATATACTAAATTATAATATAGAAATATTTAATTTTTTATTTATTAGTTCCCTTATTTAGCTAGGTTTTTACTAGCTTATTAATTTAATTAATAAGCTTTTTAAAGATCTCTATTTATAATTTACTCTTTATTATCCTAGTTATAAATATAAAAAAAATCGCTCGTAGTTTAAATAAGAGCTCTAGGTTCTTATTAT